AAAAAAAAAAAAAAAAAAGAAAATAAAATAAAATTAGGTGAACTACCTTCCCAATTACTTCAGCCTTATCGTTATACTAGGTCCCTTATCTGAGTCCCTGAATCTATGGAGGTCTCCAAATGAAGATTGGGGCACATAAATCCCAGGTTGTTTTCTACGAATTGGTCATATAAACAAAAAATAAGGGCATGAGATAAAAATTTCTGACAACTGCTTTAAAATTCACCACTACTACTAAAACAGAAAATACTACATGTAATACTCTTTTGCATATTTAATTTGCTTCTTAACAGGAAAAAGAATATGGATAAACAGTAATGTGCAGTGGTGCTAATATAATTTACAAATAAAGTGGTAAAAACAATTCATCACGCTTGAATATTTTATAAATAGCAATAAGAGCTTTCTTACTTTCAGAAGTTCAAAGTAATGTAGACAGTGGTAAACAGGGGCCAGAAGTAGCCTGGGCAAAACATATTGAACAGCTTCTTTGAAACCTTCACCTATTGACTAGAAAAGAAAGTGATTTAATTTTTTTTTAAGGTTTACTTTTTCAGACATTGTACATGTTGATTTAAAAATTACTGTACCTGCAAATAAAGTGCTGCTCCAGGCTTTGATAACTGACTGAGGAAATGATCATGAAAACCAGGTCGTAAAATATCTCGAGCATATGATTCATATGGATCAAATGCCAGTTCCTTCAAAAATAAAGAGGGTAACACATAAATAATCTTTTACCAAGATAAAATACAAATAACCTACCATTATAAACATATAAAGATTAAATTATGTGGATGTCTAGGCCAACACAATTCTATATTTTCCTGAAAGCCCCTAAACAAAAATTCTATTAATTATAATGTTCACAGAATAAATCCAAATAATCTCAAGTATGAGAGTAAATCAGTTCTGATGAGTAACAGGATCCTTATATGTTATGATACCTCTCATAGGTATCATAGGAGATGACAGACTAGTAGAGTATTACCAACAAACGTGGCCATAAGAGTGGGCAGACTTGAGTCAGGAAAACAAGGTTTAACCTGAACAACAAAGAGTACAGATGGCTGTAGGCATCTATCTAATTATAGCTAAAGTGCAAATATTTAGAATAATGATGCCAGACATCTGTTTTTTCAGTTTTTTCTTGGTGGTAGACTTTTGCTTTCATGTTCTGTAAGCCAGAGGCAATCATCTAAATTCTTTGTTATAGTTTCATAAAACAAAGCAGCAATTTAAAACAAAGCAGCATCCAAACTGCCAAAGAATTTTGCTATCACCATTAATATCATCAATTAATAATAAGATAAATTCTAATGACTAGGTCTAAAAGAATAGAATCTACTGGTTTCAATCACTGTTGAGGAAAAAGAGAGAAGGTATCTTGATTTTTAGCAGGAGGAACAGGGCTGCTACTCTTTTTTGTCCTATCCCTTATTCCAGGTATAAAGTTATTATGAAAATGGTGCTTTAGATCAGTGGTTCTCAAACTGTGGGTTGAGACCCCTTTTTAACAATGAAAATACATTGTGGCATCAGGAAGGTTGAGAACTACTGCTTTAGATTCTAGCAGGAGTTCATTCCCATAAAGGGTAAATCTAAAAGAAGAGGACATCTAGTGGAGGAGCACAGTAGAAGGAAGTAAGAGGGAATGAAAGAACGATTATTATGTATTAATCACCCTAATGTTTTTCAGATTGTTAAGATTGAATAGTAGCAACAGCAGACCAGAAAACAGACCTGAGTTCAGCCTCTTAAGAAATGGATTCCTTGAGCTGGATCCTAGTTCATTTCCTAATTTTAACTCCTTCAATTATCTTTTAAACAAACTAAGAGTTTCTATAACATAATACCAGAAATGGCTGTCCACTGTATATTTTACCAAAATGGATAATAACATCAGGAAAGAATCAGGTATGAACAGAGTGGATGGGAAAGATTAAAAATGTGATTAGATGCTTGTATATTGGGTCTCTTCAAACTACTAAAAGTTTTTCTATGCAGCTGACAAGTTTGTCCTCCTCTTTCAGTAAGCCCTAATTAATTATAGAACATTTTAATGACACCTACAGGTAACAGACTTCACACAGTATCGTGGATTAAGAGCGCAGGCTTTGGGGCCATTTCCCAGGTTCCAGTTCTGACTCTACTCATATTAGCTATGTAACCCTCAACAAACTACTTGTTCTCTCAAAGCCTGTTTTCCTCACTGGAAAATGTGGATAATACTTTTCACAGGGTTAAGGAATTAAATATCATATGTGAAGTGCTTATAATAGTGTATGGCACAGAGTAAGCAATGAATAAATAGCAGCAAGGATTATCATTCTAAAATAGCTGAAAAAATACTGAGAGTTAACTAGGAATCTAAACTCTCCTCACATCGCTCTATTCTTGAGGACAAATGTGCAGAGTGGCAAGCACTTCTAAGAACTGAGGTATGAGTTAGATGAGTTTATGATAGGGTCACTGGTTAAAACGTATACAATAAGATTCACAGAAAAATATAAATTGCTAATACACACACTTGACAGAAAAGCACAGAGAACAGCCTAATCTAACTACATCTATCATTTAACTCAAAAAAGTTCAACATTCTATAATACTTGGCTCAGCTTTTTAAAAAAATAGAGGGTGCCAAAAAATGTGTACATATTTTAAGAAAGGAAAAAACTATTCAATTTGTAATATTTGACTCCTGCAATTACAAGAGGTGTTCAACATCTTGTATTCATCTTTTGTTATCAGTACATACTGAATATTACAATAGTAATGCAGTTTTTCCTTGCTTAAAATGTGTATACATTTTGGGGCACCCTCTGGTAGAGATAAGTGATTCCACTAGGCTCTCTTTCACGAGCCTATCTTTCTTGCTAATCCCTGAAAGTAGTCACTATTCTGAATTTGAATCTTAATATGTCCATGTGTTTGGTTTTTTGCTGTTGTTTGGTTTTTTTTCTGAGACAGAGTCTCACTATGTCATCCTTGGTAGAGTGCCATAGTGCACAGTTCATAGCAACCTCAAACTCTTGGACTTAAGCAATTCTTTTGCCTCAACCTCCCAAATAGCTGGGACTATAGGTGCCCGCCACAACGTCCAGCTATTTTTTGGTTATAGTTGTCATTGTTGTCTGGCAGGCCTGGTCTGGATTTGAACCTGCCAGCTCTGGTGTATGTGATGTGGCTGGCACCCTAGCTGCTGAGCGACAGACGCTGAGCCTGTCCTTGTGTTTTTACATCATAATTACGTATGATCAAGAAACAAGGCAATATACTGTTTTGTATGCTTTCATACTTTGTATAAATATATATATTCCTCTGCTAGTTGCTTTTTATATACAAAGTTGTTTTCAAGATTTATCCATTTTGATTCATGTGGTTCCTTCCGATTAATTTATTTTAAAACTGTGTATTTTACTGTATGAATATGTATCTTTTCTTTAATCCATTCTCTACTGATAGGCACTAAAACTGTTTCCTGCTTTTCAAAATTATAAACCATTCTCTAATTAACACTTGGTATACAGGCATACCTTGTCTGATTGTGCTTTACTTTTATTGTACTTCAGAGACAGTCATTCATTACAGATTGAAGGTTTGTGGTAACCCTGCATCGAGCAAGTCTGTTGGCTCCATTTTTCCAACAGTACATGTTCATTTCATTTTCTGTGTCATATTTTGTGGTAGTTCTTGTAATATTTTAAACTTCATTATCATTATGTCTGTTTTGGTGATCTGTGATGTTACTATTGTTTTGGGGCACCACAAACTGTGGCCATACATGACAGTGAACTTTACTGGTAAATGTGTGTGTCCAGACTGCACCATCAACCAGCTGTTCCTCTGTCTCTTCCCCTCCTTGATTACTCCCATTCCCTGATATGTGACAACAATATTAATAGCCCTACAATAGTCTGTAAGTGTTCAAGTAAAGGAAGAGTTGCACATTCTACTTTAAATCAACAACTAGAAATGATTAAGCTTAGTGACGAAGGCAGGTCAAAGCCCAGATGGGCAGAAAGCTGGGACTCTTGATCCAAATAGCTAAGCTGTGAATGTAAAGAAAAAGTTCTTGAAGGAAGTTAAAAGTGCTACTCACTGAACAGACAAATGATAAGGAGGTGAAACAACTTTATTGTTGATTTGAAAAAGTTTCAATGCTCAAACCAGCTACAATATTCCCTTAAGCCAAAAACAGGTCCTGAACAAAGCCCTAACTCTTCAAGTCTATGAAGGCTGAGAGAGGTGAAGAAGTTGCAGAAGAAATTAAGAAGCAAACAGAGTTTGATTTATGAGGTTTAAGGAAAGAAGCTAGCTCTGTAACATAAACCCACAAGATGAAGCAGTAAGGGCTGATATAGAAGCTATGGCAAGTTATGCAGAAGGTCCAGCTAAGATCACTTAAGAAGAACACAGAAGATTTTCAGTGTGGATGAAGCAGTCTTCTATCAGAAAAAGATACCCTCCAGGACAAACATGGCTAGAAATAAGTCAGTGCCTGGCATCAAAGTGTCACAGGGCAGGCTGACTCTCTTGTTGGGAGCTAAGGCAGCTGGTGACTTATAGTTGAAGCCAATACTCATTTACCATTCTGAAAATCTCAGGGCCCTGAAGAATAATGCTAAATCTACTTTGCCTGTGCCCTGCAAATGGAACAGCAAACCCTGGATGATAGCAACACCTGTTTATGGCATGGTTTACTGAATATTCAAAACCCACTGTTGAGACCTACTGTTAAGGAAAATATCCCTTTTAAAATAAGAACATTGGCTTGGTGCCTGTGGCTCAAGTGGCTAAGGCGCCAGCCACATACACCTAAAGTGGCAGGTTCAAATCCAACGTGGGCCTGCCAAACAATAATGACAGCTACAACCAAAAAATAGCCAGGCATTGTGGCGTGCACCTGTGGTCCCAGCTACTTGGGAGGCAGAGGCAGGAGACTCACTTGAGCCCAGGAGTTGGAGGTTGCTGTGAGCTGTGATGCCACAGCACT